CGGTCGCTGTTGTCGCGATTTCGAGATTACACGATTTATATTTGTAATTACTAATTACTGTATTATTCTGCATCCGGTTTCAGATCCTGGCCGTCTATCTTCCCTTCTTTTCTTTTTCTTTTTTTTTTTTTTTTTTTTTTTCAATACGGTAACCATTGTGGCCAAGATCTTTTAATCCGTGCAACTTGGAACACCCCCCCCCCCCCATCCCATTAATGATAATATACATACTAGTATTTATTTTTACTTGTCACCCGTGCAAGTGTGGCATTCAATCTTTCCCCCCTATCTTTCTCACTGACCTATGGATGGACGGAGAGGAAGGAGGGGGGGGGAGAAAAAGGGAGGGAAAATAATCAATCTTGTTTTTTTTTTTTTTTTTTTTCAAATAGATGAAAAACAAAAGGACCAATCAAGCGACCGGTGCATCAGCAGAGCAGAGTACAACGGAGGGTAAATATTTTTGTCGTGCCCCATCCACCACTCACTGATGGTCGATGAAGTTGATTGGAGGGTTAAGGGGTTTTAGGTGGGATGCTGTTGGTCCATCAGCACATAACTACTTAAACTACACAACAACATGGTGCTCCTCGATTGACACTCTGTCCGCTGTCTGTATTGACGCGTAGAAGCAGATGTGGTTTTCCTCTAGGCAGGGGGACGAGCTACCCACAACAACCGTTGATGTTGGCCGCACCTCTGCCTTGGACACTTGGCATAGTCACAATCTGCTGATCTTTATGTATTCATCTTCTTTCTTTTTCTTCTTTTGCCTGCATGGACATATGATCAATCCCAACTAACGAGATGGAAAAAGCGACCTTGAAAAACTTGCCTGTAGAAGAAGAAGAAGAAGAAGAAGAAGAAGAAGAAGAAGAAGAAGAAGAAGAAGAAGAAGAAGAAGAAAAAAAAGAAAAGGTAAATCTGGTACAAGGGGGGAGGGATGCGCACCAGCCGTCGATCCTCGTGCGGACAATCTGATACCGTGGTGGCTCGATGTCCTCACGTTGTTGAGGAAGCAGAGATCGCCATCTCCGAGCTTGATCCATGTCAGAAGCGCACGAAGTTGTGTGCGTGAGTGTTTGCATGCATGTGACCACTTTTTGCAGTGAAGTACATGCGGGAAAAGCAACGGTGACTCAGGCGAAGTACAAGTACATGATAGAAACGCGGCGTCGGCATCTGAAGTACGAGGTCGGAAGTACGAGGGAAAGCCGGCGTCCGACGCCATAATCGCACGAGGACTTCCCTGCACGTATCTGACCGCTTTTACGACCCCGCGCAGATGCACCTGGCCACAATGTCGTCCAAAGGTGAGTTGCCAAAAGTGCAAATGTGAGCATGGGGGAATCGTGGTGAATGGTCGTTCAAACATAGGGGGTGTTGGCAAACTACTCCCTGACCAGGAAAAATTGGCGAATGCATCTTCACACACAAGTCCGCACGATACACCCGCTATAATTATGAATAGCAAAGGATGTATTCTGCCAGCGAATGTGTGAAGATTCAATTCAATTCAATTGCCATTCTTTTGCATGAAGATGCACTGGCCACTTGTCCCGGTCCGTGCATAGATAGCGTACCAAGGCCCGTAATAATGAACAATCGCAAGATCCGCACACACAAGAACAAGGATAAAAATAGCCCAAAAAAACAAAAAAAAAGAATAAAAATAGCAATCTTTATAAGGATCGTGCGTTCTATTCGGAGGAAGACGGTAGTGGGTGCCGCCATCACGCTCTCATAAGCCCGAAGGCGATCGACGGCTCCTGCGCCCTGCCACGAGCCCGAACGGACACGCTCAGACTCATGCTAGGCCTGACCCCGAGCCTCCCCAGGCGCAGCGGCTACCTTCTTCCCCCGAATACAACGTACGGTCATTATAGCTGTATTTGAGGCATCTTTCAGTCTAGATACAGCTATAATGACCGGGCGTTCTATTCGGGTGAAGACGGTGGCAGGCAGCCATAGATATACTTTTTTTTTTTTTTTTTTTTAACTGGGTACTTGTTGCGGATGTAGACTTTCTTATTTAAAGTTATATAAAAAAGGCAAAATGGGCGACGGCTTCGACGACTATGTGTAGTATGTGGTAACCGCGGGGGGGGCCAAGTCCCAAATACACCGTTTAGTTGAACTAGGTAGTTCAACTGTGAGACAAGGTTTTAGGGGTTAAAAAATGATTTACCCCATTTTAGTATACTGTTTTGGGAACCCTGTATTTTCTATTAGGGAAAATTGTCGAAATGCCCCTGAAAGTTGGGGTATTTCGGTAGATACCCCTGAAAGGCATGGGTAATGGCGAAATGCCCCTATGACAGGTGAAAAACTTTGTGAAATACCCCACTCGCAAATTGGACCTGTCATCTTTTGCATATACCACTACCGGGCCCTGGGCAATTTGTTTATATGCTCGGGTATTTCTGGCTATTGGACACTGCAGCTGACAAAAGAAATGCGCCGGCCCCTGCAGTCCAGGGCCATGGCATATGGCAAAGTTGGCCATGACCGGAAAAGGGGCAGATGCAGAAGTTTGGGGCATTTCGGCATACCCATGTGTTTTAAGGGTATGTCACGAAATACCTCAACTTTTAGGGGTATTTCAACAATTTTTCCTTTCCATTATTTTGCACCGTGCCCCTCCGACTAMCCCTATTGTGCCACTCCTGTACTCCCTCTCGTCTGTGTGGTCATGTCCTCCTATTGTGTGTGTGTGTGTGTGTGTGTGTGTGTGTGTGTGTGTGAGAGAGAGAGAGAGAGAGAGAGAGAGAGAGAGAGAGAGAGAGAGAGATCAGGGTAACCGGACAGGGCATTAAAATGTCCACACGATCGGAGGGAAAGAGAAAGAAGTACACAAAAAAGCATACACTTTCACTCAAATTCCAAAACACCGATCACACCAAAATGTATGCGTCCCTCAACATGTTTTGACCCAGGCGTGCTCCAGCTCTCTTCAGGAGGAAACAAAACTTGTGAGGCTATGCCCAAAGCCTCACATTTAATACAAAGTTACAAACTACTCACCACTCAGATACCCACATGACATCGCCTGATCTCGTCTCTTTCTCCTCTTCAGTTCTTCCTCATCCCCTCACCCAGCCATCTTGTCTCCGCGTCATTCAGCCCTCTATGTATTCTGCTACAATCCATGCTCAGGCGCATACGCAAGCCAACCTGKATCACCTCGCTACTAAGTGAACACAGGTATGATATCCTCGCCACTACATAGGATCAAGAACTATCGAATAATCTCAGTACGGGAATTCCCAGCGTCAGCTCCGGCTGCATATCTACGTACTTGGGACGAGTCTGCGCCTAATAAAGCCAGATAGCCCGAATCGCAACATAAAGACCGGATCCTTGGAAATTGAAAAAAGCTTCGAAAAGCAAGGCGCGGAAGAATCTGGTAGCGTWTRGTAAGCCTGCACTCAAATTGGGACCAAAAACATATTATGTGCTACTTGTGCCAGCCTGCCAGGATCGTGTCTAGATACATAGAGAACAGATCGTCTCATTTATACATCTAATCTGAATCGAGGATTGGTGCATCCATAAGTGACAAGCCAAACACGTGCGAATCTGAGGCAAGCGTCAAACACACAAGCATTTCCCAAGGACAATCCTRTACAAGAGCGCTTAAAACAGGGCGCCCCAAAACTAATCCTACTACGAGATKTTTGCAGCAAAAAACGAGCTTGCACACTTACAACTAAACGCAAAAGACAACCACCGGTCCATGTCARRAACACAACAAAAAAGGGGTTCRCCATACATGTGACACTCTAACCTCACACCCTGTGCTGTCTTCCGTTCGGGGCGTTAGGATTGCGAAAAAGGGCCCTGAAAGATCAGCAAGATGGGGTGTGCCAAKAATTTTTGGAAAAATTGAGTGTGGGGACACAAACAGAACTGAAATCCCCCGTGTTGGTCTKGCGTAGTAATACAGGAGGTTCGTCACCGCACGGGTTTAAAAGGGGAGAAAAAGGCGCGCGCGGGACTTACGACGCGGGGGAGTTCAATCCAAAAASTATCGTTGAACTTCCCATCGGGCCRTTGCTCTTCGTTTMGTGTSAAAGGGAGCGGGTACGTACTTGGTATCCCATTTCCGGACCAAGTCCCGACGTCGCTCTGTGTATAACTCAGAATCCAACGTGGAARGTCTCAGCCGCGTGGCTCTCTCCTTATGTTCGTCTTCACTCTGTATTCGGTAGTGAAAACCCTTTGATTGGCAACGCTCGAGGCGGCGACAACGCTGCATAGAGTGTTGGGCCAATGGGGTGCCACTGCCAACCACGGAATGACGATCAATTCGTTAAATGGCAACAACAACGAGTATGGTGGAAAATGCGTATCGATAATAACAAAACCAGCACCGACAAACCCCGAGCACCGAGATTCAGGAGGGAAATAATATCGCCCGCCGATCTTAGCGACGRCTTCCCGTACGTCTCACTTGCACACACATGTCCTTCGCTCATTATAYAGAAAGGGGCGTCGCGRGGATATGGGAGGCTGGYGCCCAGTCGGGTTCAGGCCGTCAGTCCWCATGGCCATCCAATCAAACATAAAGATTTTCCTTACTCATCGTTAKCCCKACAACCGTAATAATGTTTTAAATACTATCCACKTTATTCATTTGAACCAAGGTGATGGGACGCGGCAATCGATCCACCTCGCCTTGGTCTGTTGCGTCCCATCACCTTGGTCGCACATGGCGTCTTTATCTTTTTGAGAGGATAGACCGCTTCGCGGGTTTTCCCACCTGTAATCGAGGGTCTGTCGCATATGTCGTGCAACATAAGACAGATGGCCTGCGTCGTGTRCTCTAGTTTATAGATCYCGGGACATTCTCCCGTCATTCATACTCGACAGATCAAAACACTCTTGCATTCTTGAATCAGATCAGRCAACGTTGGCGMGGCTACCGTCTTGACTTATGCATTCCATGAATAGCAGCCCTTCGGCCTAATCAAAGACCAATCTATCAAACAATGATGTCA